CGTTTCTATGTGTGTGGTATGTTGCTAATATTGATTTATTCGGGTTTACAGTAATGCCTGCCATCTCATAGAATGAGACTGCAGTTGTAAGGAGTTGTTGGTGTTGCTTGCTCTTAGCCACCCAATCGAGTGGCTATTAACGATTAATATAATATTTACCTATCGACATATGAAATTTTATAACTTTTTGTTGTAAATTGACTATATAGAACGATAGTAGATAAAATTTAACGTTTCCATAATATAAGAATGCATTCAATAAAATATAAAAATATTAAAATTAGAAAATATTGAGAAATTGAAAACGCTGTAATGCAAATTTTTCATAAGCATTAATTAGAACGTGTAGTTCTTAAAAATCTTGATTATGAACTTCATTATGCGTTTACACTATGTGATAACACTAATGGTGATACAAGATAATTTTAATCTAACTGGGTATATATGTATATACGTAGTAACCAACTTAAATCATAACAAGAAAAAAGTTGATTTAATATATGCTAATGATTAAAAATATTCCTTGGTTGCTTGAGATTTGCTGGTGTCGTAAAACATTCAGAAATCTTGGTGAGATGCAAACTGCGCTTTGGTTTGCCGGTATTTTTAAAAATGGTTGGATCTTTCTCCCTTGATTCGATGATTTCGATAGTTTTTTTTACTGCTATCTAAAAATTAAAAATGGATTAACATTAGAAAACCCCATTATTAGGTAAAATTTAGATATTAAATATCAATACCTTGATGTTTAGGACTGCAGCTAATATGGCCAACACTGCCAACACTGACAGTAGATTTTCTTCTTTATCTGGGATTTCTAACACTTCGCTTCGCCGGATACGACAAATATATTCTTTTGGGACGTCAATGTATAAAATTGTCATAATTAGGCCTATAAAATTAAAAGATAAAGATATAAGGTTGTGATAATTGGTGATTATATTAAAAGAAAATTATACTTTCCTGCATGTAGGATTCTAACAGTTTGTAGATTTCTATATAATGATTCGTTCTAATTAACTTTCCGGATAAGCCTTAAAATCATGTTTTTTAATGTTTTTGGCAATTTCAAACACATTCCCTTTAAAGTTTTTTGTGCGAAATTCGTCTTCTCCTATTCTCCCTACTTCACCAGCTCCATATTCAAGACGATTTCCATTACCGGTTCTTCGCAGTATCCAGTCGCCACGATGACCTATCTTGCGCCTTATTGTTGCCACTCTCCCCCGATTTTTTCTTATCGCCATAGCAATACTAGTAGATTCTCCCATAACATATATAGTTATGATTATTATTATTATTATTATTACCGGACAACGGAAATATTCTTAAAATTTAAAAATCCTTGGTTGAAAATTGCATGCCAAATGTGCAAATTGAACCATTCTTCAAGGTGCGAGTGTTTAAGGTTTCCACTTTCTATCTCTCTAATTCTAAAAAGAAGATTTCAATAAATTAAAATCATTCCATTATTTTTTTTAATTACAATTACATTGCATAGATCGCAAATCTTATAAAATCAAGGTCATGATGAATTTTAGGATCATATTTTTTATCGAATATTTCATTATGTTTATTTAAAACGGTGCACATATCACTAGCACTATTCTATAAAGGATGCATGCTGTATTAATTATCATTTATTTAAATAAGAAATGCATTTAATTTGACAATAATTTAATACCTTATCCATAAATGTATTTAGATATCTGATGATATCTTCTGAAAGATCAGGCACTTCTGGAGAAGGAAATTCTATTTCTTGTAATTCCACATCGTTAAAGTGTTTTTTAATTACTTCATAATTTACGTCAATTATAAAGGAGTGCGATGGACTAATTTATATATGATGATGATAATTAATATTTTTTATTTAATGTACTATATTTAAAAGTTGAAATTTACTGCTCAAATTTCAATGTTTTTCCAAGTTTGTACAACTCCTTTTTCACAAGCTTCCTAGTTGACAACTTCCGTATGTTATTTTCCTTCATCTTTATATAGGCAAGTTCGATTTCCTTTTGACCTTTGGGACTCAACCTATATTGTCCTGCCTATACCATAATACAAAAAAAATTTAAATACCATGATGAAGTTATTGCGATGAAAACAAATATTACCTTCTTATTTGAAACTTGTTTACAATTTAAATGACTAAAATTATGTATTGTTTCTTCAAGATCTGTTTCAGATTCCTAAAAATAATATATAGCATCTTAATAGATGCTATAAAATTTAGAGTTTGGAAAGAACAATTAAAATATCCTATGTATCTCTTCGAATAGTACCGTACCATCTTCTATATCACTTAGATCCATATAGCTTTGCACAATATCACTTTTCTCTGTATCACTTTGTCCCATGTCACTTGGTTTCATATCACTTTGTTCTTTGTCATTTTTCATCGTATCATTTTTTCCATATCATTTTGTTTCCTATCATCATATGAGGAACTGGAAGATGATTTATAGTAATCCAGAACTGGCCTTCCACTTCTAGTTTGTTTATGGATATTTCATTCCTCAATTTTATTCAGATGCATATGAATTTTTTTACTACATAACTAAAATTTGTGTTCATAAATGTTGGTACATTTAACAACAGAAATTGGCCAGAAAAAATCATCTAAAAGATCCTACATGACGTATTTCTCTCTTAAACAAATTCCAATTAGGTTTGTCAGTTGTAACCTATATATGAAAATAATTATATATTCATTTATTTATTAAGTGATTCAAAAATTCGCAATAACAGAAATGAAGATGATACCTATACTCTAAATTTAACATAATTGTTCTCAAAAAGAAGTTAAAAAATACTTTTCTTAATGTTTAATACTTGCGCTACCAATAAAAACCGCTTTTTCCATGTGTTTTGAAATTTTTTTTTTGAGTTTTTTGATAACCTTGCAATAAAGTTTGTGTTTAACCGAACAAATTCTGATAAAGATGGAACTCTTTTATCTTTTGTGGTTTGTATCAAATACGATTTGAGAACTAAAAATTTATAATAAGCAAATTATTATTGTCTTTTTTTTTTGACTTTGTAGCAAATTATTATTGTCTTTTTTTTTTGACTTTGTAGCAAATTATTATTGTCTTTTTTTTTGACTTTGTTTCTGAAATAATTACCCATAAAAACATCATCTTTTGTATTCATGTTTTACTCTGTCAAAAGTTAAAGTGTTTGAACAAAGTTTGGACAGTTTAACGAAATAAAAATATAATAATCATGTGATTATTTTGTTATATGTCAAACTACAGTACCCCGAAAAATGCGGCAGTCACGTGATGATCTACAGCAAATTAGCCAATAACGAATTATGATTCGGTGTAACGTAACACGATCAGGAATTTCAAAACAAACTTTGACAAAAATCGTAAGTTTTCCTTGTGCGATTTTACTATTAACCCTAACCTAAAAGAACTTTAACGAATTTTTCGATCATCACGTGACTGCAACATTTTCAGGCGATACTGGTGAAGATGTCATATGTAGGGTTGTATTATAAATGAATGTATGTATGTACGTACGTACTTACGTACTTATTTTCCAATGTAACACAAATCAATATATTTAAAGAAAAATAAAAATAAATTTCCGTAGTTCAACAAGGATGAGCTCTTGACTACTTCATTCAGCCCACATTTCAATGTTGTTTCATAATATATCAAAGGTTGATATTTTCACAAAATTCTTGGATATAGGCAATTTAGATTTCTAAATTTGTCAAGATCATCCTTTGTTAACGTAATACTGTAATTTTCGTTGGGATTTATTTGGCTATTATATATGTTTGTAAATGATTCAGTAATGTAATTAAACTTTTTAAAATTCAAATTTGTGAGACTGTTATTGTAGATGATATATTGATAGAGTTGAGTTGAATGTGCGATGTACATTGTCGCAGGCAAGATGTTTTTTGAATTTAACTAACTTTATCCCTTGCCATGATTTACTATAAATTTTTACTCAAATTTTAAAATTAAAATTAATTTATTATTTAAATTATTTGTCGAGAGTGGTACTACTTTGAACAAATTAGTTTTACATTTTTCAGAATGTATTGAAATTAAACCAGAGATCTTTTATTCATTAGGACAAATGAGCTTTTTTCTCTCGACTTCAAGATTTATCTATGGACATAATATTAGATTTCAGCTTCGAAAGTGCTACTACTTTATTAAAAATATACTACGAAAATTAATACTAAGAAACTTGTAAAATTTGATTATTATTATGAACCACAAATATTTCATGCTCTTATTTCCCTTATTAAATCTCAAGAGCAACTTAAGCAGTTTAATTTGAGCGGTGGTGATAGTTTTCCTACAGAATTCCATGGAATTATTTCAGCTTTAGAGTGTCAAACAAAATCCTTACAAGAAGTCGTAATAGAAAATTGTGCTTGTAGCACGGAGTTTGAGGTACTGACGAAGTGTGAAAATTTAAAAGTTCTTCGTATCAGGTTTTGTGAATTTAAGAAACTGTTTAAAATATTAGATTATAGAATCAACACTTTAGATTGCCCTATTGATGCATCGAATATAGTACAAATTTCAGAAAAGTCTGAATCATTACTATCAAGACTAAAATTTGAATCAGTGGATGAAGAGATTTGGACAGAATCATTATTACTAGGAACACTTAAATCCTTCGATCCAAATATTACATACCTCAATATTTCGTATGTTGAGTTTTCCGTACAACTCTTGGAGCTTATTGATAATTTACAAAAGCTTCAGTTTCTCACGTTATAGTGTATAGTTGATATGCGAGAAGAAGAACTAAAATTTGAGTCATGCAGTTTGTCCAAATGCCTTTAACATTGCAATACCTCGACTTAAGGAAGGCTTGGTTAAGTTCTTATATTGATATTATACTCAATCATTACGATGCACCTTTAAAAGTCTATTAATTGGTCACCTTATTAGTGAGAAAGAAGCTAAGGCACTAATCGAATTCTGCACAAGAAAAAGAACTTTGAATTACGTGGGTGTAAAAATGTATTTGGATAATATTAAAAAAGAAGTGGAAGGATATGTTGCATGTTGCCATATAAAGGTGTTGTTAATTGTTAATTTCTATAAATTTTCATGAAATTTCTTTTATAATTCTTTGCCATACAAATTAATTTTTAAATATTACGATGCCTTTATACACATGATAAATGATCAGAATATCAATTAATTTAGCAGTAGGATGGCTAAATATTTCATCATGTGGCAGTTAATGATCTATATAATTCTTTAAAAATTAACAAGTTATAAATTTATTATTTGGATTGAAAAAAATGTCATAATTAATAAACGTTTTTCTTCTATAATTATGTAATGCGATGGTTTAATTTGTCTCTTTTTATCAAAATTCATTAGGCTATAAGTGTTTACGAGCATGGAACCAAGTACTGCTTTCTGAATATGGTGTATAAAATATGTTGCATCTGTAATGATTATATTCGGAAGATTACAACTATAGATTGTATTGTTGTTAGACGAGGAATTTACCATCTCGAAGTAATATTTGGTAATAATAAGTACTATCTTTAGTTGGAATTAATGTTGTTAGACAAAACCTAAGGGCTTTGTCACTGACAAAAGTCGAAACTAGGTTTTGTCTTTTGTCAAAAAATTTATAAAAATGACAAAATTACCAAAGGTGACAAAATTGACAAAAGATGACAAAACTAGCAAAGGCAACAAAACTGATAAAGGATAACAAAATAACAAAAGATAATAAAATTAATAACAATATAATAAATAAAATTAACAAAATTAAAATTATATTTATTTATATATTTCTATAAAATATAAATTAATATAAATAAATTATCTTTAATAATATATAGCTTTAAATATTATAAAATAAATATCTAACATCTTATAATTATAAATATATTATATAATATTAATTTTCTAATGCAAAATAAAAATACTTACAGGCAATAATTTGCTTTGATATTTACATATGTTGTATATACATTGATAATTATAATCCTGCAAATGCTTACTCTAACGCGAAGATTGTATTTTGACTCTAATAACATTTGGTACATCTAACACAAATCTTACATATTAATTAATTACTTGAAATTCAATATACTTATATAATATGTATACTTAATTTATAAACTAGTAATTTTTA